GGGGCCCTACCACACCTGGACAGAAAGGGTAGAAAATAAAACCAGGGTGAGGCCCGAGGGAGTAGGCTGAAGATTTGAGCACTGGATAAAGAATTTCACCCAGAGGACAATCTGCCCTCCCCCCACCTGTTTCCCAAGAAGCAGGCTGGGCGGGGCATGGGAGTTAGGCCTGCTAGTTTTGAGGTTTAGGGGATCTAAGGAAGCCCTATATGTTCTTGCCTCCTGGGTGCCGGTCCTCAGGTGCCCAGGATTGCCTGGGCCCTGACTGTGGGTAAAGTCTTTCTCTCTAAGCTTCAGTTTCTCTGTCTGTAAAATGGGGCAGTTGGCCCAGTTCTCAGTCTGAAACCCAAAGAATTCATTTCCAGGGGTCTGAGAAGATTCTGGAATTTGGATATACTGGGATTCCAACATACTCACATTAAAGGATTATCCATTCTAAATTCCAACATATTATCATATGTTTTAGAATTTCAACAACCTAGATTACAGTAGTCTAATATTTTAATGTTCTAGGAATCTGATAAACTAGTATTCTGATATTTGAATATCTTCACACATTAAAGGATTTCATTCAACTCAGCATTCCAAAATTCTAACACTTTAACATGCTAGAATTACAACCCAGGAATTGAATATTCTGACTATTTTAATGTTTTAGTATTTCAACAACCTAGGATTCTGATGTTTGAACTAATAGCAGAGCAGTTCAATTACCTAGCAGTTGCATATTTATAAATGTATAATTCTAGTATCCTAACATTTATACAGTCTAGAATTTATACAGAGAAGTCTACTATTCTGACTTTTAACATTCTAGTATTCAGGCACTGAGTTCTACCTGATTGCATCTTGCCATGACCCCCGGCCCCTAACCCTGCTAACCCTGGTGTCCAAAGGGAAGAGTGGAGACACTGTGATTAGGAGAGGAGAGGGGAAAGTGCCCCAGACCTCTGGGGGTTCTGAATATGTGCCTGTCCCTCCACACACACACACTCAGGTCTGGGGGAGGGCAGACTGGGCTGTGAGACCTCACTTGCCCCTGGCAGCTAGCACTGGCACCCACACCCACACATGTCACCCAATCGCCACAGCCAGGCCGGCTTCAATTTCTCCTGTTTCCACCAAATGGGAGGTTGGGAAAGGACTGTGGGGGAGAGGCACCCCACATCGCTGCCCTCATCTGCCCCTTCCTCCCCTCTTCTACACCTGGCTGGCCCCTCCCTTCCTCCCTGCCGGCTGCAGAAAACAACAACATGCAGGGACAAGCAATTTGGAGAGGCCTCTGGGGAGCCCCACCCCTGCCCAGGCCTCCCTCAAACGGGTAGTGGGGGTGAAGAGGCAACTGGGGACTAAATGCCCCATCCCCACCCTACAGTCATCCAAGACTTAGACCCCCTTACCCTCGCTCAGTAACCCAGGCTCCAGGCCACCTCTGCCAGCGCCCCCAACCTCCAGACCTATCCCCCAGCTGGATGGGGGGCACCTGCGCCCTCACCTTCTGGTCCACGATGGAGCAAGCCAGCTGCTTCACATGGGCTAGCTCGGAGGCGGTGGGCAACAGCACGAACTCGCGGGTCAGCCCAATCTGGATGTGGAAGGAGACTCCGGAGCCCGGGGCCGGGACCTGGGGCAGGGGTGGTGGTGGCGACTGAAGCTCCAAGCCGCCGGGCAGCAGAGGAGACCCCGTCCCGGGAGAGCCTGGGAGCCCGGCAGGGTGGGAGGGGGCGGCGGCCATGGGAGTAGGGCCCGGGCCCTGCGCCCACCCGGGATCGGGCAGGAGGAGCCCAGGAAGCCCGGGTCACTGGATCTGAGGGGTCTCGTAAACTGGTGGCGGGAGCGCGGTGATCACGGGGATCCGGGAAGAGAAATCTGGCAGGCTGCAGGGAGGGATTCGAGGATGGTGAGACCCTGGGAAATTAGAGAAAAGCAATCTAGTGGGTCAGACGCTCAGGAATCAGAAAAGAAGAATCTAATGGCTTGGGGGAGCCACTGATTGAGAGATTACAATAAATCAAACAAAATCTAGTAGGTCGGGGTCTCGGGGATCAGAAGAGCCCAGGATCCAAAGGCCCCTTGGAGAGAGAAGGAACTGAAAAGGGGGCAGGGGGATCCCAGAAATCAGTGGCTCTAAGGGGGGATCCAACTAACAAGGGGGGTCGGGGTATTCACCAGACCTTAGGGGTGGAGAGCAGGAGTCTCTGAGTCGGGGATCGAGAGGATCCCAGGGATCCAATGGCCCCGGGGATGATCAGAGGGAGTCGGGGTGCTACGGAGGGAATCTCACGGATCTCGGAAGTTGGAGAAAAGTTCGGTCTGGGGCCGCGGAGAAGGGGGCGTTACCGGTGGGGGGGGGGGGGGGGGGGGGAGGGTCTCCCGGCACAGGGCGCGGGTGGCTCTTTTTCTCTTTCCAAAGTTTAACTCGGCGACAGCAGCCCAGAGGAAGTGCCCGGAACGACGGCGCAGTCGGCCAATCGGCGCCGGCTTAGGTGACGTCAAGGAGAGGGCGGAGCTGGCCGACGGGCCGGGGGCGGAAGGGGAGGGCGGGCCTGGCGCCTCCGAGTAGGGGGCGACACCCCCACCCCCGCCGGGGTCGGAGGGCCTGGAGCGGGAGGTGCGGGGCTGGGGAGTGGGGCTGGTTCTTCTCGCCCACACATCCAAATCTGGAAAGTTAACTTTTCCCTGAGCTGGAGTGGGAGGGACGAGCCACCCTCACCCCTGTCACAGGTCGTGGGGCCGGCGCTGAGAAGGTGCCTGGCCCTTTAAGGAAGGGGGCCCGTCTCGCCTGGCGGGCATCCGGCGCCCACCGCAGGGGAAAGGGTGGGAAACAGGGCGTCAGGTCCAGCCTGCTCTGGGCTCTCTGGGCTCGGCCGCCCTTTTCTCAGAGCATCACCCTTCTCCCTCAACCCCTCACGCTCCAGGCCATTTCACAGATGGGAAGACAGAGGCCTCCAGATGGGCAGAAGGGCTGTCTTAAGTCTGTTCAGAGCCCTTGGGCAAGTTGCATGGAGAAAACTGGAGAGGCCAGGGCTGGGTCATCTGTGCAGGGAGTCAGACACTGGGCTGCGGCGAAGGGCTGTGGTCTCCTTCCCCATTCCACCTCAGCCCTGAGGAGGGCCAAGAGCCAGAGGCCTGGGGTGCCTGAAAGGACCATAGTAACAAGGGAGGTCAACACCTCCATACTACTTCATTGATGGAGAACTCATCGTTCTCCTGGGTTGATGTGCGCGTCTTCCTCTCTGTATACTTCAGGTGGGTGGTTACCCTTCTCTCAGCGTGTTTCCCATCTGTTAGATGGGATGATAGAGACTGACGATCTTTGTGGGGATTAATGAGATTCTATACTGGTGTCTGGAACACAGCAGTTCAGTAAAACGGTGGCTATCGCTATAAATTGCAAAGAGAAAGGGGGGGCACTTCAAGCGTTCAAGAGTTTATGGGTGGGTATGTTCATTCATTCAGTCATCCAGCAAGTATCCATGGATGGCCTATATGTGCCAGGCCTGTCATAAAACAGCTCCTCCAGCGTGTTCAGGAGCAATTTAGACTTGATTTCTCCTCCCCAGCTAATAATAAAAGGGTGGCTACTATTTAGTTTACATACAGGAAGCTGAACCCTCAGAGGCAAAACTTGTGAACACTGACGTGTTCAACATCACCAAACGAGTTGCTACCACACCACTCCCTTCCTCGAGAGTTCAGGTCCGGGTTTGAGCTCCCAAGGCATCCCAATTAGAAATGGGCCACCTGCCCACCTGGGTTCCGGAACAGCAGGGCTCGTTGGGGATGAGAGCTGGGAGATGAGCTGTTGGGGGCGGCTGAGGTTGGTATAGTAGCGATTCTGTCACCACGGTCTGTCACCACATCCGGGGGTGGCTGGGGCTGGGGAAGGAAGTCTTGAGGCTGGAGCGAAAACCCAAACCACCACCTGGGGAAGCTGCTACCAGCCCAGAGGGATGAAGGGGAAATGAGGCCACATGGAGCCCACAGCTGGGCTCCTGTCCGTGTCACTTGATGGCCATCTGCCCATCAGTACCCTTCTTCCAGATGTACAGATGATGGTCACATTGAAATACTAACCCCGAATGTGCAGTTTATAGGCCTTCATCCTTCCTCAAGGGTTCAGGGGGTCTGCTAGGGGCCAGGTCCTATTCTGGGCACTGGGGGATTAGCCCTTGACACCCCAGGAGGTGGCATCAGTGTCATGTCCATTTCAGAGGATGCTGAGGCCAAAGGTGCCAGGACTTGCTCAAGGATACCTGGCTGGTAGATGGTGGCCTAGTAGCAAGCAGAGGGAGTCACACAGGACTGGATACAATTCTGATGACCTGCTGGCAACCCTGAGCACACCCCTATGCTCCCCGTTTTTTGAGGTGGTTGTGAGGACCCAGTGAAATGGCATGTAAGCACCTCAGCACAGGGTCTGGCTCCTGCTGAGTACACAGTTGACCACTATGACTGGACCACCTTGGGGAAAGCAAGGGACTCATGTACAGTAAAGGATGGGGTGTCTGCATCACCTGCTCCCTTGGGCAGCTCCCAGATGCTGGGGTGTTCTGTGCCTGCAGGTCCCAGGCCTTCCCTTCCTGCTCCATGAGTCCAGGTGTAGGGCAGGGAGGAGAGGGGTAGGTAGTCGGGGTAGCCCTTTGGCCTCACCACCTCCCATCACATATGGGCGTGGGGCGGGCCACAAAGTCTTGAGCTGAACCGGCCCCTCACATCATCTACTTGTCAGGGCTCTGCCCCCGAGGCTGCTGCTGAGGCCCCTGGGGAGGGAGCGCTTAGGGACACAGAGGGGCACAGGGAGATTCGGTCCTGTGCCCCCACTTCCGTCCCTCCACCCACACACTGCCCAAGCTCTGGGCCCCTCACACGCACCCCCCCACTAGCCCTACCACAAAACCCCAACCCACCCTATCCCCTCTCCAAGCTCCACCCACGCAGGCAGAGCCACTGACTCCTCCCCAAGTCCCCAGTCTCCTCAATAGTCAGGACTGCCACCATCTTACTCCAAAGGGTTTATTGAGACAAGTTTCACATACAAGTCCGGGGCAGAGGAGATGGGCTATACAAACAAGAACCTGGAGGGGCCAGAACCCAAAAAAGAGTGAAATAAATAGAAGGAGAGAGTGGAGGGCCAGGAGGAGAGTGACAGACTATCACACAGTGATAACCACGTGGGGGCAGGGCTCCATTTAAATCCCATTTATTTATACAGATGTACAAGGAGTTATGGGGGCCTGGAGGACCCACTCCACTGACCTCCATGTCCCAGGAAGGGGCAAGAGAAGGCCAACTTTCCCCACAGGTGACCCCGAGGAGAACTGGGGGGCTGCCCACGGGGGAGGTGGGAGCTACACCTCCCCGGAGGACATCACCTGCTCCCCAGGCCGTTACTGGCCTGGGAGGTACTGGGTAGTGTCTGGAAAGCTGTGTTGAGGGACTGGAGAGGAGGAGGGTGCACTGGGTGTGCTTCTGGATGGGCCAGGCCCGGCCCACCCACTGAGGACAACCTGGGGTCCAGCTGGTTCCTGTCTCCCCTGGCAGGGAGGAGCAGGGGTGCCTGGGGTTCCTCCCAGCACAGCTCCCACCCAGGTCCGGAAGGATAAAGAGGGGTCAGGTTCAAGGAGAGAACCTGACACCTTCTGGCATCTTAAAAGAGCTGATCCCCAATGACACCCAGCCCTGGTGGTGCTGCCCCCCAAAAAGGCAGCTCAGAGACCAGCAGCAGGTGTCAAGGCAGACAGGAAACTCCCAGAGGCCATCTGGAGGGTGATTCCCTCTGGGGGCTCTCCAGGCTGGCTGCTCGGGATGGGCAGGCCATGGGGGAAGGCCTCCTGGGAAAGGGGCCGTTAGCACCTCCAGGCTCCAAGGCAGGTGGGAAGAGGCCGGGCCTCTGGGCCTCCAGACTGAGGCTGAGTCACCTGTGGGAGACAGAAGGGAGGGGAGACTGGATCATGATCCCAGAGCAAAAGAGGTAAGGCAGCCCCCGGGCCCCTCTAGGGGTGGTGTTGGAGGGCCCCATTGTGGGGAGGACACCAGAGGTTTCTGCCCTCCAAGGCCAAGCCTCCCTCCCATCCAGTCCCTCACCTCAGTCCCACCTGCCTGGCCCCACTCCCCAGCCAGCGTGGCGGCCAGGACAGGGCCAGGTGGGTATCATACGAAGACCTTGGCCAGGGCATCAGCGCCTGCACTGGCAATAAGGGCCTTGCTGGGGTGGCAGGCGACAGCGTGGATGGCCTCCTCGTGCTTCTTGCGGTGGGCCGTGATCTCCTGCACGCAGGTTTTGTTGTCTAGGCTCCAGAGACGCAGGGAGCAGTCATGGCCTGTGCAGGTGTGCGAACAAAGGGGTTCACCCAGCAGCACTGAGTACCGCCAGCTCCAAGCTCAGATCCATCCCCTGAGCCCCTCAGCTGGCTTCCACTGGAGGCCTTAGTCAGATGGGCAATCAAGCCTCTTCCCCACCCAGTTACTGGACACCCAGCCTGAAGAACCCTCTATCCCCACTTGTCATCCACCCATCCAGTCACCAAGCATTTTGTGTCCTGGGCCCTGCAGGTCCAGTGAACAAAATGGGAAAATCCCCTCCCCAACGTGGTGTGGACATTCCAGTGGGAGAAATAAGTCAACATGAGAACAGAACAGTGCCAGGTAGTCAGGAGCACTTTGAGCACAAGTCAGAGGGACAGAACGGCCAAGGGGATACCAGGGGAGAGAACCTTCCAGGAACGACGGACAGCCAGGGGAAAGGTCCTGAGGCCTGAGAGGAGGTGGGCATGGCTGCAACTGCCTGAGCAGGGGCGTGGGGAGGAGGTCAAAGAGCCGGCAGCCTTGGGGCTGGGCCTTGGGGGCCAGGAGCCACCGGAGGGAGCCGCCTGGGTCAGGCCTCAGAAGGATCAGGCCTGCCGGGACGGAGGCCAGTTCTCACTGCCCCTTTGGTTGTGGGCGGGCTGGGGGACGGGGACTCTGACCCTGCACCAAATCCTCTCTGCCGCGGGCTTGGTCTCACTGACCATCCCCCCTCACCTACCCTCCCTGGAGACAACTGCTACTGTCCTGGGGCAAATGGAGAGCACGACTGGATGGGCCCACCACGCCATCCACAGCCTCAGCTGGGACCCCTGCGCCACCCCTGGCCCACCCCTCGCTGACCCCCAGGGTCTGGTGCCAGGCAGATGTGAGCCGAAGCCCCTTTCCACAGCAGGCCGGCAGGCTGGCCTCCAAAGGGACCTTCAGAGCACACCTGGGGAGCTTCAGCCCTCCTTCATCTGCCTAAGTCCCACCTCACCCCTTCCAGGCACAGCCCCATAGGTGCTGGGCCTCAGCACCCTTGCCTACAGACAGCAGGGAACACCAGTGCAAAAGTGCTTGTGGATATTTAGCCGAACTTCATTCCTGCAACCCACTACACTGTGATCAAGTTCCAGAACCTCTCTGAGCCTCCGTTTCCACATCTGTACAATGGGGATAGCAGCAACCTCACAGGTTATTCAGATTAAATGAGATGGTATAGGAAATAGCCCACAGTGGGCTCTGAGAACAGACAGCTTTGCTGACCCTGCTACTGTGACTGCTCCTATTCTGGCCCCACTCTAACAACCCTCCCACTGCCACCCGGCCTCAGGGGCCCCAGGGCACTCCCTCCAGGCCAGTGCCCTGGTATAGTCCTTTTCCTCTCCCTTGCCCCACTGGGGAAGTCACATGTTCCTTAGAAGCCAGGAGGGTCCCAACTTACTTCCCGACATCAGAAATACGCCATTGGGGTCCACAGCTAGGCAGGTGACAGCATCCAGGTGGGCGACCATGGAGTGCACGCATTTCCCTGAGGGGAGCACGGTGGGTGGCAGGTTACGTTCCCACTCTGCACCTCGCCTGGGAAGGGGAAGGGCTAGAGGGACGCTGAGTGCCTCCAACACAGGCACCTGGCACTCTGACATTGAGCCCCGTCCAACCCTGCCCCAGGAGCAGAGGAGCAGGGAAGCAGGGAAAACCAGGCTGCACCTGTACGGTTGTCCAGAAAGCGGATGCCCCTGTCGTCATGGGCAGTGATGGTGAGGGGCTGATTTGGATGACTCACCACCTGGTTGATCTGGGTTGGGCCTGGAAAGAAAGGGGGTGGAGGGAAGGATGTCAGGGGGAACTCAGGGAGACCAGGACAAAGGCAGAGGAGAAGAACCCCATCTGACACCCCCACCCTCTGCCCAGGTGTGAAGGAGGGCTGGGTACCCAGCAGCTCCCCCCTCTGGGTCACAGGGCTGCGCCTGTAAGGCCGACACTGTGGCTGCTTGGGGGTCGGGCAGGAGGGGTGACAAGACATGAAAACAGCCCATCCACACCCCCAAGCAGGCCTGCCAGGCGAGTCCCTGGTGACCTCTCTCCTCTCAGTCCTCCCAAGAGCCATAGGGGCAGTGGCCCGGATCCTATCCCCTCCCGCTCAGAGCCCCAGCAGGAGGCACAAGAGCCATCTTGGTTGCCTGGGCACTGGCCACCAAAGGCACAGGGGGGACTGGGGAGGCACTGAGACCCAGCCCCTGGCTCCGGTGCAACTCTTACCACTGCTACTCCTGGACTCAAGCGTGAGGAGGGCACTGCCAGCCTCCAGGTCACACAGGACAGTGTCGCCAGAGCGGAAGGAAGCCACGATGTGGGCAGGCTCGGTGCTGGTGAAGGCCACTGAGGTGGGGATCCCGTGATCTGAGGGGCAGAGGGGAGGGAAGGCTGCTTAACACAGCCGGTTCTGCCCTGGGGGCAGGGGATGGGGGGTCAGGAAGCCTGGGCCCTCGTCCGCAGTCACCCTCCTGCTTCCCAGCTCCACACTGCTCCCCCGAGTCCGTGAGGGTCACTGCTGCCCCCTAGCCCGCTTACCACTGGCCGTGGGGAAGGTACAGAGGCAGGCTGGGCTGCTGCTGCTGGGGTCCCAGATGCGGACGGTGCCATCAGCGGAGCAGGAGGCCAGGCGCTGGGAGGTGGGACTGAAGGCCAGGCCCCACACAGCGTCCCCATGGCCCTCTAGGATGTGGCTCAGGACACTCGGGTCTGGACTCACCCAAGGGAGGAAAGGGGCCCCATCAGGGCTGCCAGCCCCACCCGAGACAGCCTGGAGCACGGTGAGACCCGGCTGGGCGGGAGCTACCCATTCACCCAGCTTCTCACGGCCGGGACCTGCATGCCACCAGAGCTGTCACGGTGGGAGCCTGCCCTGTAGCTGCTCACACTGGTCCTTAGTTCTTCTGGGATGATTTTAGGGCTCTGAACGCACCCCGGAATGGGAGCTCCAGAGGGTGGGATTTCCCTCTGTTCACTGCTGCCCCCCAGGGCTCACTACAGTGCCTGGCACAAAGTAGGTGCTTGATACATAATTTTTAGAACTTAAGAGAAAAAAGAATACTGGTGGTTCTGTGGCCCTGAGACCTGGACCCTGCAGGTCAGCCCTGCCCTTGGCCCCTGCAGGCTTTTCTGTCCCCATGTGCAAGCCTTGCCAGGCTCTCCAAAGCCCTCTGGCTGTTCCCACCTTTGCCTCCCTGGTCACTGGAGTCCACACAGGGCTCTCTGGTTGGGCCCTGCTGACCCCCAGTGTGCGGCAGCCCACCTGACCCAGAGCATACACTGTCTGGGACTGGTGGAGCCTGTTCTCTGGAAAAAGGTGTTACGTTCCTTGAGGGGAGACACAGACCTCTAAACTCTGCCATGACAGGACTGCGATATGGAGCCACATGTGTGATCAAAAGTGGTATCAGAGGGTTGGTGGACAGCCACTGAACACAAGTGACAGTCTGGTCACTTCTCCATGTAGCTCCAGAAGGTGACCCGAGGAAATAGTGCCAACTGCTGACCACCCGGCTCAGCTAGCTGCCCCCATCGCACCTGCTCTACTCCCTCCTCACCGACTCCCTCCGCTCAGCCATGTAAGCGGCACTGGCTGACCCCTGAGCGCCAAGTGCTGCCAGACCGCAGAGCCAGGGCTGATTCCGAGTCAGCTCAACCACCAGCTCCTCTGTGCAAGCCTCCCGCACCACCGCCATTCCCGCCTCATCCTGCTCAGTCCCGGGTGGAATGCCGCTGCTCTACGCACACCCAGACATAGAGCCCTTGGTGCAGGGTTAGGCGTGGGCAGAGGCCCCCCTTGACACGGGTGGGGGAAAGGAAGGCAAGGGAGGGAGCTGTCCTCACCGTAACCATCATAGGGGTCCATGCCGAGGTCCGGGACCCTCCAGCTGTGGATGCGGGCATCTGCCCCGCCGCTGTAACAGTACTCGCTGTTGCTGCCCATGGCTACGGCCAGCACGGGGCCCCTGAAGGATACAAAGGTGGGTGAGGGGGAGATGGAAAACAGTGCTGGCCCTGCCCTTAGCCCCACAGGACCTGGACAGTCTCTACTGGCATTTTCCAGGAATGGCCAAAGGGAATTTAGCATCTGGGGCACTGGCTGCCTGTCCCCTACCTTCACTTCCACCCCCACATGTCTATTTCCTCCTCCAACATCTACAGAGAGGCATGGAACCCTCCTGCCATCTGCTGCCATCGGCCCCAAGAATGCCAGTGAGGAGGCCGAGGGTCAGAAGTCTCAGGGGGCACTTCCCTACCTGTGAGCCCGGAAGGCATGGATGGGTTCCACGTCTAGTGCAGCATTCCTGTGGGCAGAGAGAGGAGCCAGGTGTCTCCGCAAGTCCCTGACCAGCCTGTCCTCTGGGTCCAGATGCCCTTACCCCACTGCTCTACCCCTGGGGTGCTGCCCTCACTTCTTGGCTGTGACGGCCTTCTGAAGGTTCCAGAGCTTGAGTGTGCCGTCCTCAGAGGCAGTGAGCAAGGCCGACTGGCTGTGGTGGAAAGCCAGGGAGCGGACGCCATCATAGTGTGAGCGGAGGGTGAATTTAGGGTTCCATGTCTTCTTAAAGGCATCTTTGCTGTCAGAGAGCTGGGGTTGGGCAGCTGTGTCAGCGTCTTGTCCGTCCCGGCAGGCTGTCCCACACAGACATCGACCACCAGGACCACCCCCCCACACCCAAACCCATGTGAAGCACCCTCATAAACTGGCCTGGCAGCAGCCTCCTCTCCCACACAAGTTCCTGCTAGATTCTGGGGAAAGCATGTGAACTTGACTCCTTGGGATCTCCCAGCTCAGAGGGGGTCGGGGAGACACTCAGATCATCCTGCTAATGCACGGGATTGCGAACCAGGAGCAGTGCTGAGTCCAAAATGCACTGGGAGGAGGTACCTGACCTCTGTGGGGGTTAACAAGGCTTTCCTGAGGAAGTGACAAATGAGCAGGACTTAACCAGATTGGGGGATGAACTGAGGAAGGAAGTGGCATGTGCAAAGTCCCTGAGGCAAGAGGCCACACAAGCAAGTCAGGGCACAAGAGAAGGCCTAGGATGCAGAAGCTGGGGAAAGTGGCAGAAGATGAGGCCAGGAAGACTGGCCTGAGCCACATGCAGGAATTTGCATCTCATCCTAAGTAAGCTATGGGGAGCTACGGAAGGGTTTAGAGTGGGGAAACAACATGGCTTAGAGAAGGTAGGAGTGGATGCAGAGAGAGAGAGGTTAAGAGGTCAGGAGGGAAGTCTCCCAGGGAAGGAGCAGGCATTTTGACCAGATACCGGGGAGTAGAAATGGGGACAAGCACACACAATGGGGAGAAACTGGCGAGTGATCAACAGTCCCCTGGGGAAGTCCCAGAGACACTGCGCACAGCCCCATGGCTGGTGGTGGTGAGAGCTGAGCTGAGGCCGAGGAAGGGAAAGATGACGAGCAGGCGGGCAGTGAGGTAAGCCTTAGGGCCCCACCCCGAGGTTCACACTGATGAGCCCCTTTGGGCTCTGTCTCCCAAGGCCCCCACTTTAGCCATCACTGCCACGCTGGAGGTTAAGGGTAGCAGAGCCGTTTGAGTAAACCTTACTGCCACTCCCCAGGAAGGGGGCACATTTTGAGGCACACTCCCTTGCTGAAGGCCTCCACTCTGGCCTCACTTCCCAGCACCCCACAGCAGGGCCCTAATCTTGCAGCAGTGCCCTACCACTTGAGATCTGGCTAAAAGCTGTGGCCAAGGTTCTCTGGAGATTCCCACTTCAGAGATTCCCATAAGGCAAGAGGTCCACCCATGGGCCTCCTGCTCAGACACTAGCCCTAAGGTCTTTCACCCAGAACAACTGCCTGCCCCATCAGTCCCCATTCCACCAGACTGGCCTGACCTTCTGGGTTTTGGCTTAGGCCATCTTGCCTCCAAAGGTCAGCTCAGCTCCTACCTGCACAGACTTTATCCACACTGTGCCACCCCAGAGCCTCTGCCTCCTGAGTCTGTATTTTGATTGAGTACCCCCTCACTCGGACCCCAGCCCCGGAGGACAGGGGTGGGGGGATCCTGGACTTGAGGTGCATGTAAGCCGAGGGAGAAGCAGCCTGCCAGTGACTTGGACATAGGCTCCACTTGTCCAGGCCCCACCCATCAGTGAGCCTGGGCAAGTTCCTTCACCCATGTGCACCCAGACGCCTGTGTAAAACAGGGTGAGCTGCTGGACGATCTCACAGCACCCTGCCTACGGGACAGGGCACAGGCCAGTGAGCCAGAGCCTGGCCAGTGAGGGAGCTGTGTGGGATGCCCAATGGGGCCACAGGGGGCTGGGGCACCCTGAGAACTTACATCACAGCTGAGGTCGTTGTCGTTGGTGACGGTGAGATCTGCCAAGTCCCCCAGGCTCACCTCCCCGCCCCCGATAGTGTCCATGATGAAAACGTCTGAGGAGAAGCCAAAGGAACCTGGTAGGGGGAGGGGAGGGAGGGGGCAGAGAGGGGCAGGGAGAGAGAGAGAGAGAGCCAGAGAGAGGTGGAGAGAGGTGAGGAGTAAGAGAGAGAGAGAGGGAGAAGATAAGATCAAGAATCACAGCTGGAGAGAGAGACAGGAAGGGACAGACAGACAGGGCAGGACAGACACAAAGAGGGAGACAGACAGACGAACTTTTGGGACAGGGAGGCTGCAGAGTAGAGGCTGGACTTCAACTCTAAGGACACAGAAACCCTGGGCTTAGCCCTGCAGCCTCCCTGTGCCATGGGTCCCACGGCACTGCGCCGGGTGGAGGGGCCTCTTACCTTCATGTGGCCGGGGCTGGGGTGTGCCAGGAGGTGGAACGGTCACTTTGGGGGGCAGCCCATCCACATCCCGAAGGTCAGCCAAAATTCCCTGGAGTTTGACCCGCCGGCTTTCTGCAGGAACAGGGCACAAGGCAGGAGTGGCCTACCAGCTCACCCACTGGCAGAGGTTTCTCCTGCAACTGTGGGAAGCTGGCACGCCTGGCCCCAGAGCAGCGGGGCTCGGGAAGGCGGGACAGGCAAAGGGGACATACTGAGCCGGGACCCTCTGTGGGCCGCCCTCGCCGGGGCCTCAGTCCCCAGCCATGCTAGTGTCGCCGAGGGCCTGGCAGCTTGGAGTCGCAGGACAGGAGGAAGATGCAGCACTTCCTCCCGGTCCTCATCCTGCTCTCCCCCCGAGGTCTGCCAGGATCTGGAGCATCGAACGGCAGGCTGAAGGCCCTGCTTCAGGAAGAGCCGGGCCTGCCTGCATCGCCAGGGGGGTTTCCAGGGAAGGGGGGAGGGCCTGGCCTCCGCGGCTCGGATCTCCTGCTCTCCTTGGCCACCCTCCTCTCAGGAAGCGTGTCCGTCCGGTGGAGACCCTGGGGCAGGAAGCAGCTGCAGGCAGCTGTGTGTGTCCCCACCACACTTGGTGAAGAAGGCTGGCCAGAAGCCCTCAGCTCACCCAGCTCACGGTGGGTCCCCTCTCCTGTGCCTCGCCGAGGGTCTGGAGAGCCCTCCCCGTCCTCTCCGGAGCCCAAGAAATCAAACTCGTTGATGGCATCCTCTGAGTCATCCTCCTCGTCCTCATCCTCCATTTCGGGTACCAGGGCCTTAGAGGGCAGCTGGGGCATCAAGAAAACCAGACAGGTCAGGGGGCTCTTGCCAGAGCCCAGCCCACCCACTCTAAGATAAACCCACTCTACAAGATAAGCCAGGATAAGCTAAAACCTGGTCTCTTAGTAGGTCAGTCCCGTCCGTCTACCTGGCCCTGCCTGGAAGCACAGGCCCCAGCCACCAGCTCCCTTCCCACAGCTCCACCAGGGGAGCCGCGCGCCCCCTGCTGGAAGCCTTCAGACGCTGCTCCTAACCGGCGCCACCGGCCAGCCTTGTTTTGGAGCCCCCACCTCTTGAAGTCAGGTCGAGTGATACGACCACCTGTTTCTGGGGAAAGGGCACACACATCTGTGCCTGTATCTGCGAGTGTACGGAGGCACACAGCTAAAGCGAGAACAGACCCATGGGTGTAACAGTAATAATAAATACTTACCAAACACACCACCAGCCTCTCTGCCTTATTAGGTGCACTAAATATGCTTCAACCATGTGACTTCAACCCCGCGAGTAGTTACCATTATTCTAATGATTTTCCCATTTCGCCACTGAGGGAGTGGAGGCTGAGCGGAGTGATGCCCTTGCCCCAGGTCGCCAGGCTGGAGCCCCTCCTCACGCACAGGACAGCTCTGCGGTGAGAGCCGGCCGCGGGCTCTTCAGGGCTGCCTTATGACTTTCCATGTTGGCGAATTTTTGTTCTCTTATATAACAAGGATGTACTGCTCTCAGAATGAAACAACCCAGCTCCTCCATACTGAGAAGGGGAATGCTGGGCAAGTGAATACTGAGTGAGAAGTTGCATTTCCTGCAGCTGGTCTGAACCGGGGGTGGGAACCAAATTGTCATTTTCCTCAACTCCAAAGCTTGGTCCCCATTCCAGACTGGTGAATTTAGGAGAAACACGGCGCCTGAATTTCCCTACACGCAGACACCTTTTATACACAGTCTCATAAAATGACGTCTTGCTTGTGATTCTTACCCTCTCATGCTATAAGCACCACATTTTACACAAAGTATCATCCAGGGGCCATGCACTGGGGACCTCAAACCCTGCACTGTGATGGCTTAAAGGGAATTTCAGAATTTTCAAATTTGGACATCTGAGTTCTGCTTGAAGTGCTCTCTTAAGAACAACACCCCCCCTCACCCCCAGCCCCAGCACTGGGATTGTGAGGACCCCCAGACACACTACCTCTTCCAGGGAACCCTTTCCCTGCCTGGACCATGTCCTGGGCCAGCGTTAGACTGCGAGCTCCTCGAGAATGCGGCTGACCTCGTCCCATGGGCTCAGCCCCCCAGGCCGGGTCAGAAGGGTAGGAGTTTGAGGCCACAACACTCAAGCACCTGTGAAGGGCCGGGCCCTGGCCTGCGCAGGAGGACCAGAAAGATGGGCCATGGGCGCCTGCCTCTTCCCTTTCCAGAGAAGACCTGTGGTCAAGGATGAGACAGCATGTGCGGAGAGGCAGCGCCAGGGCCGGGGCTGTGCCGGAGTGTGAACGGTAACAGACATCTCTGACGGGTCTGTGAGAAGGAGCCCTGCAAGGCTGTCCTGCCAACACAGCCTGGGCCTGGCCGTGCCGCACCACTGCCCAGGACTGCCAGTACTACCTCACTGGGCACTTGGCATGGTGAGCGGCCGTGCAGCCCAGGGCTTCCCATGCATCAGCTCATTCTAATTAAATCTTCAACAACCTAGAGACAGGGACTATTAGCCCTTGAAATGAAAGCCAAGACAAAGAGAATCACATGCCCAGAGTTACACGGGCAGGCCAGCGGCCACATAGGGAGTCACCAGCAGGTCTTCTGAATCAGTCTGGTCCCTGAAGGTCTGCTATGTGGGGACAGATGGTCTGGGGAGTCATGAGACCCCGACACAATGAGCCAACCCTTGGGGCACCTGGGACAAGTGTGGTGACAGATATCAAGGCCTGAGGAAGTATAAGGAAGTCAGCAATAATTTGATTGGAGGAGCAGACAGGCATGGGAAGGTTTCCTAGAGGAGGCTGAGGTTAAGACCTCAAAAAGGAGTGAAAATCCCAAGGGGGCAGGAGGGACCAGGAAACAGCATCAGAGACCCCAAACTTGGAGACATCCTGCTTCTTCCTATAACCCCAATTCAAGTGGTTTGATTCTGTGCATTCAATGAGCACCTCATCCGGGTAGGACCCCAGATTGAGCTGGAGACAGAGCAGAAGCCAAGACAGACCTGGCCCCTCGCAGGGACGGGAGAGGAGGGATGCAGGCCCGACACCAAACGGGGAGGACCCCAAGTGGACAGATCAGGGTCGGGGAGCTCATTGGGGGAGGGGAGCAAGGAGGTCAGAGAGGGCTTCCTAGAGGAGGGAGCATCTGAGGTGAGTCTGCGGAGGAAGGAATGGGGACACGCTGGGAAAGCTGGTTTAAGGAAAGCCTCTGAGGCAACCTTCAGCAGCTCCCTGCTTCACAAGCACCCACCCCTGCCTCCACTGTGGCCCGTCCCTCCACACAACTACCTATAAGCCTGCTGCGGGCCACAGGCTCCTTCCTCCCTGTCGGGGATTGGACGTCTGTGTCTCCATGTCCTTGCTGCCAGCACAGAGCTTGGCCCACGAATGCCCAAAATGATGTCTGCGGACAGATGAGACTCTGCCACACCTGACAGAACTGTCACGATGACAGGAGCACAGGGCTCTGACAGTTCAGGAGTGGGGTGAAATGTGGTGGCACCTGTATCTTGAGGCCAAGTTGAGGCCTGGACTCCCCTGCAGGCAGTGTCCCTGGTCCCGGACATCAGCAACAGACTAGACACTCTCACACTAGCATGTCCCCCACAGAGCCCCCAACCTGGTTCCAGGCTGAGCCCTAGCCTCCACCCAGGCTGAACCCTGGGCCCAGACACATGCATTCAGGGCACTGGGAGAACAGTGAGAAGACCCATGTAGTCCCCGTCTGGCGGAGCTCACCACCTGCTAAGGGAGACAGAGTGCAACGTCACAGCAAAAGATGTAAGTCTGGCAGTGATTGGGCTGACCCAAGGGAGAGTGCCATGTGAGGGCAGGGTGGGGAGTGGCCTAGTCCGGAGCGGTCAGGAGAGGCCTCTGCGGCGCCTGGCAGCTGAAGGAGGCAGCATGGAGAGAATGACGGGAGGAGGGGGAGAAGAGGCAGGCCCTGGCAGCAAGGACTAGGCACCTCTGAAGGTTGCTGAGGCAAGGGCATGGCTGGAACGGAGATGGGGACTCTGGGAAGGGACACGATCGGGCCATTCAGGCCAATCCATAAGGAACCCCCGACGGCACCCAGAGGGGTACTCTACTGCTGATACACAAAATAGGGGGTCCTCTTGGAGAAGGTGGGGCGGGGAGGGGACGTCCTTGGGGCCACGAGCTTACCTTCACGCGCTGCTTCTTATGCTGCACACTGTCCAGCTCATCGTCCTCGTCGCTGTCCTCATCCTCACAGTTCTGCAGGAAGGGAATCTGCTCCAGCACCGAGCCACCCAAGCGCTCTCTGCCATCTTTACCCGCCGCATTCCTGCCCACGACAGGGGGCAGAGGGGATGTTAGTCCTGCCAGGTGGCAAGGCTCCGATGGGAGGATGCCAAGGCTTGGTGGCCAGAGCCTGGACCCAGCTCTCAGCAGAGCTGAGTGCATACTCACCCCAAAGGAGCCTTGACCCTGACCACACACAGGGCTCCAGTCCCAGCCTCTGCCAGGTGCTCACCCCAACTAGAACCCTCATCGGACCACAGCCTGGGTCCTACTTCCTCACAGAGCTCTGTCCCACAGTTCAAGGACTAACCCCCAACCCTGACCACACGTCTCCTGCAAGCACTGAGTCAGGAGAAGACAAGAAAGGGCCACGGACTCAGCAGCGCTGTCCTCACGGCCCTGCCAGATCCCAGCGCAGGTGACTGGCAGAGACATGCCTGCAGGGAAGAGGAACTGGCCACTCCACAAAAGCTTGGGCGCCCCCAGCCAGCCTGGCCACCAGAGAGCCCACACCCTTCCCACTGACAGGAGCCTCTTGTCTCCACCTCTGGGCCTACTGTTTAACGTCTCCAACTGGATGACAAAGTTTAGCAAAGGAGCATTTGCCCAAACAAGACGGCAGCGTAGAACTCAAAGAGCATAGAGATGCAAACACCCTCCTTTTTTACCTAGGCTGATGTTCTAGAGAGTTCTGGTCAGTTGCCCATGTCTATGGCTGCTGTTGGTGGAGAGCAACTCTTCCCAGGTCCAAACCCAGCACTCACTTCCTGGCCTCCTGCTGCCCAGCCCTCAGAGCACCTCTGCGCTCCGCTGCCTGCATGCCAGCCACCTGCAGGGTCTCCTCCTAAAATGAGGGCTGCCCGCCTCGGCCTCCTTGGCTGGTGCATCCTCCCATCCCTTGCCCCTCTCTCCACAGCTGTGGAGAGGCCCCAGGGCTCGGCCTGGACCTCCTCACTGTAACCTCTCCCTCAGCGACAGCAAAGGCCCCATGGCTTTCAACCATTGCTTTTAAAAACTGCCCATGTGCCGATGAACTAGAGCTGAGTTTGGAAACCAGGGGCTCCCTGGGCTCCAGGCTAGGTACTCAGAGCTGTACCTTCTAGGTACTCAACACCTGCACTGGGGTCACCAGGCCCCCCTCAAGCTCCAGCATCAATGGGCACCCCTTGATGCTCTGCTCCTCGCCTTCTCCACCAAGGTCAGTGACATTCCCGGCTGCTCAGAGCACACCCTGGAGTCATCCCCACTCACCTTTCCTCTCCCTCACTGCCATCCTTTGAATCCTGTCAACTCACCCTAAAAACCTATAGAGTGGCTGACCCCTTCTGGCCCGGACACTGCAGGGGCCTCACGGGCATCTCCCGCTCCCACACCTGCCCTCCTGCAGTCTCTCCTCAGAGCAGACCACACAGATCAGATTATGTCACTCCCTGCTCAAACCACTGGCTTCCCACAACCCTTAGAGTGGAATCCAATCCCCTTATCATGCCCTAAGGCCCTATTTGATCTGTCCCCCGAGATTTCAGCCTCACCACAGACCATAACCCCCACGTGCTCACTCCCCTGCAGCCGTGTCAGCCCCTGCTGGTTCCTGAACATGCCAAGCCCCTCACGTCTCAGAACCTTTACACTTGTTGTTCCCCTGCCTAGAACATTCTCCTTCCAGCTACTTGTGTGGCTCACCCTCCATTTCATGCAGTTCTCTTCCCAACAGACACCTCCTTGAAGAGGGTCTCCCCATGTGTCTCACCCAAAGCAGCGTTATTTCTCCTGTCATTCTTTCTTAGTACCTTTCGTTCGCTTCACAGCACCTCATATCTAGGATCACCTAATGTTGCATTATTTATTTTGCCAAATAACTACTGATGAAAGCATGAACAAATAAGAGCTCCCAAGGGTGGCAACTGTGTGCTTTGCTCCCCACGGGACCCAGCACGTTGCCCGGGGCCACCTGCAGCAGGTGCTCCGGGGTGCTGAAGGCAGGCCTGAGCTGCAGGTGAGGGGCTGGGTTAGAGAAGAGCTGTGGTGCGCCTCAGCACGGAGGCAATACTTGGGAGGAAATGTGCGGGGGACCCAGAACAGAATCTGCAGATCCCATAATCAAGGGTTTGAAACAAACAAGCCCACAACACATTCCAGGAAGGAAAAGGCTCCCAGAGCACAGGCAGCACTGCTGACTTTCTGACACTGGACTTCACCAGGAGGAAAGAGGGCACATACCCGCCAGGCCCAAGGGCTCACCTCTTGATCTGCTCCTCGATCTGTTTCACTAGCAGTGACTCGCCACCAGTGAGCCCCCCAGGGCCCGGCGTGGCCCTGGGACCGCCTTCACTAGGTTCCATGGCGCCATTCAGCTCCAATGAGCGGCCCAGGAGGGACCGCACGCGCTTGGACCGCATGTCCAGGATGGTGTCTGTGTAGCCCACCTCTTCCAGGTACCTGCAGGGAAGCAGAACTGGCAGGAGTCAGGTGTCTCCTAGCTTCTTTAGATACTGGGGGGGCTGATGCAAATTGAATAGCCCTTTTGGAGGAGCAAATTAAGACTATACACCAAAATTTTAAACAAGCACAGCCCTTGCCCTGCTGCTTCACTTTCAAGACCATTTTCAGCGGAAGCCTTTGTGCACAAGCACCATGCTGTCACACAGATGCTCGCCTCAATGCTGGCGGGTAGCCAAAAATGCAGGGACCACGCTACATGTCCACTTGCGAGGACAATGAAAGCCAATCACTGATGGGGGCACCAGGCAGACAATAAACGAGGCAGAGCACCAAGGAAAGATGGCCCAGAGAAACGGCTTAACATAAACTGCCAGTTACGTGTTCTGTACCATTGGAGTGTTGGTAGTGTTGATGTGTGTGCAGGGAGAGACCACACACAAACTCACATCTGTAGTATGCCCCCCACAAGGCCTGAAGGACAGACACTGAACTTAATAACCGTGACCTCGGGAGAAAGAGATAAGAGATGTTAAGAGGAACTTTTGCAACTTACACTACTCACTTCTACAGATGCGCATGTATTACTTCTGCAGTTTAAAAAAGCTCAAGCCAGCTGGGACTGCTCTAAAAACTAAAGAAGGGGGTAACAAATCAATTACAGTTATCTGTGGCTTCAAAAGATATAAGAGTCCCCTGCTGGTCCTCTGGAGGCTCCTTCAGAAGAAGCCTTCCCTGTTTATGGCGCCCCCGATCCTTCGGGGCCCCTGCCCCAGTCCCTCACACATAGGGATGCACTTGTCTCCACCTGCTGTCTCATCTTTAGTGCCTACTTGGGTCCAGCTCCTCCTCCCACCAGAGAGGCAGGGAAGTATGGTGGTGAAGCTGAGCTCTGGGGGTGGATTGCCTGAGAACACATGTCAGACCCTCCACGCATTATCTGTGTGACCTCATGCAAACAGATACCCTCTCTGCACCTCAGTTTTTCATCTCTGAAAATGAGGATAAACCTAGCAGTTATACCACACGGGAATTTATGTGAGGCATCAACGTGGGCAAAATGTTTAGCACAGTGCCAAGCACATAACAGGCACCTGGCAAGGCACATAACAGGCACTTGGCAAGTGTTGCCTACTACAGTCATCTGGGTGTTACTGTTTGCTAGCAACTGCACTTTCAAGATATTTAGCTTAAGAAAAGCATGGATATGGACAAATAACTTCATGATGTTTGCCATGCTCTCTAAAAAAACACCTTTAAGGAAACTCACAAGAATGGCTATAGAAAGTTGTGCTCACCCACGTAACAGACTACTATATTAATTCTTAAAATGATGCCACATGCTAATTTACATGGAAAGATGTTCACAACACTTAGCAAAACTACACTATAGAACACTGCAAAGAGGGGGGTCCCCTGCTTTTATAAAACATACACACACAAATGCACAGTCACGGAAGAGAGTGACAGAAGAAGAGAGTGACAGGACGTACATACGCGAAAAATGTTTATGGGAGCATGACATTCCTTGGGTGATGGAACTACCAGTGATTTTTTTAACAGCTTTATTGATATAATTCACACATCATACAATTCACCCTCTTAAAGGGTGCGATTCAGTGTTTTTTGGTATGTTCACAGAGATGTGTAATGAGTGACTTTTACGTTTTGTGTTTCTGTTTCCCAACTTTTCTAAAACACATAAATCTCTTTAGTAATAAAAAATAGTTTAACATTACCTTTGGGGGAAAAAAAACACATAACCTTTTGGGATCACCTTCCAGGAGTCGGGGGCACCCCCATGTCTGCCTCAAACAGTACCTCTCGCCTCCCTCTCTCTGGGCAGGGCTCTAACCCACAGGGTGACAGGCCAGCTCAGCTGTGGCTGGCAGGGATCCTGACAGGTTAGTATCCCCAGCAGGGACAGGAAGGACTGTGGAGTCTCCGGGCTTATCTCCCAAGCCAAGCACGCACACATGTGCACCCCCCGCAATGACTCCCCATCCCTCTGCACACTCACTGTCGGAGAAGCTGCCGCCCCTCCTTCCACACCAGTGGGCTGTTGTCCAGGGTGACCGACTCCACAGGGCCATTGGGGACTGGAGAGAGGAAAGAAAAGAGACAGGCTGTCTTAGTGAGGGTACTGCTATGTACCCATCACTTCCTCCGTCTTCCCAACCCTCAACCCCTGGTCAGTCACTGTCATGTATCCTGCACAGTGTCATGTATCCTGCAGTCACTTCCTGAGTGTCTGAAACTTGCCCTCTCCCCTCAGAGCTCCCCATCTCTAGCCTCCTGACTGGTCATCCCTCAAACTACCCTCCAGCTATCTCCAGACTCAGACCTAGTCACACTATTTTCCTTCGTGGGAAGCTGGCCTGGCTTGAGAGAATGCGCAGACTTGACTGGGTTCAAGTCTGGCTCCGCCCTTTCCCAGCTGTATGACCTTGAGCAGGTAGTTCACCTATCTGAGCCTCAGTTCTATCTTCTGGGAAATGAATTTCATTAAAAGAAGTTGATAAAAAGCACTTTCTTGGGCTTATTGAGGACTATGAGATCATGTTTATTTTATTCATCAAATACTTATCAGACATCTCTTATATGCCTGACGAGGGTCACATCAGTAAACAATGGCCCCTGCCCTTGTGAATTCACATCCTGATAGGAGTCTGACCGAAAGAACAATAATCAGTGTTAGCTGAGCACTGAAGGCCTCGACAGGTCACCCAGCCCCTCACTGCTGCCACCAGCACCATTGGTTCCTGCCATAGCCAGTAAGCCTCTTCCCAGCCTCCCACCGCCTCTCACATCCTGCTGCTGTATATGCTTCCCCGCTGCTGAACTGATCCCTCTTTCCCAGAGCTTGGACTACAAGGGACCCTGGGTGTCTATTTCACGGAGGGACAGCAGGCAGCACTGGCCTTGTTGGCCACCATCCCCGCCCCTGGGGGCCCAGCACAGCCCTGGTAGAGCAGCTGACGGGGGAGGGGCACGAGAGTGAGGCCAACCCCTCCCTGCCCCTGCCCACCAAGTCGGCTTTCTACAGAGCAATGTGAAGAGGAGGTGGCCCCTCTCCGCCCTCCTCCATGACATCCAGTTTCGTTGGGAGGGGACAGGTGGGAGAATCAGAGGGTGGGTACCTTGTTCTGATAGTTCTGGTTTCTTCTCCCCCTGGTTCAGGTCTGTCCCGAACTTCAATTTATGATACTTGGCCCTAAAAGAGCAAATGATTAATGAATAAGAGACGGAGAAGAGTAGACAGAAGCCCTGAATCCCAGGGCCCCCCCAGCGCACGCTCCCTTCTGAGGCTGAGTTGGCCTACACCCCCGTCACTAGAAGCAGCCCTGGTGAAGGCACCGCAGACGGCGCCATGAGGGGCCCATGCCAGAGGCAGGCAGAGGGGATTGCTATCCCAGCCCAAGGAGTCCTTGCTTAAGTCCTCACGCTCAGGAAGCCTCCAGCGTACCCACTAGGCTACTTGGAGGGACAACTAAGACAATAACTATGCGGTGTTTGGCATTCAGTGGGCCGCCATCATTATGAATATTATTACCAGCCCTTACCCTGGATCCCACCCACTGTGCCCTGTTCTGATCCCTCTCCTAGAACCACACAGTACTGGGTGGTCCCCAGTCTCCCTCAGCTGGAAGGGAGTATGCCTGGCCTCCCCACTTCTCAGAGGCAGGGCAGGCCAGCAGGGCTCACCTTTCCTGCTTCAGCGCATATTCTAACATCTTGATCCTCCGCACTAGGTCTGTCTTGAGATTCTCCTGCCCTTTCCGTTCTCCCTGAAGGAAGGCCACTTGAGCCTGGGGGCGACAGAGGGAACAGGAAGACAGCAGGTCTCAGGCTCACTGCTGCACGTCCCACCCTCCCTCAGGGACAATCAGTTCCAGCCCCTACCCCCACAATGACATGCAGCAGCCACTTCTTCAGGCATGACGACCTTGAACCAGGGTTCAAGGGAGCAGTGGAAGGGCATGCTGTATCTGTGTCCAGAGCTCCTGCCACGTCACCCACAATGAAAGCTGAAGGGGGCTCCTTAACCCTTGAAATGAAAATGGAACCAGCTCAGGCCTAATGTGGTTTCTGCCTTTTGGGGAGAAGTTGGATCAGGGATGAAGCAGGGGAGGGAGACATTACCAGCCCTGGGCTCCCCCCACCCCAAGGCAGGTGCTGTCCCTAAGGTTGGGGCTGGAGGTGGTGTCTCACTATTCCTACCAGAGCATCTGTCTCTGGGAGGCGTAGGAAGCTACTTCTGGAGCTTAGGGACAAGAGTGGGTGGCTCGGCTCAGCTCCCGCTCCAAGGCAAAAGCTTTACCAACTCAATCCTCACCCTGGGGACCAAGCGTCCCCCTGGAGTCTGCAGGCTAAGGGAGATGTGCCATGATGTGAGCAGGCCCTGCCAACCACTTCACACCACCTGCTGGCATGGGCAGTCCTAGTCTGCTCTGCTCTGTCAACAGGTCTTTCAGAGATACTGGGCCAACGGCCTTCGAGGCAGGATCCCGGCGCCTGCCCACATTCTGGAAGCCCTGTGCCGAACCCTGAGGGCAGGGCTCTGCCTGACTTTTCCCCAAGTGCTCCACTGTTCCAGGATGGGACAGCCTGAGCTCCAGGCCAGCTCGGCCACTTGCTGCGTGTTCTTAGGTAGGTCATCAGCTATCTCTGAGCCTCCCTTTCCCCTTCTAGGAGACAGGGCTCACGAGAGTGCCTTCCACTTATGTGTTAAGCCCTTTTCAGTCCAAGGCCTAGCACAGAAGAAGGGCTAATAAATGCCAGCTCCTCCCTCCTCTCATTTTTATTCTGCCTGTCCATCTTCTACAATACTGAAATGGGCCCAGACTTCAAGCGAGCTAGGAGCCCCCTGAACCCTGAGACCCACCAAGCAAGGATGTCTGTGGCTTACAGGCCTCCTGCCCCGCGGGCAGCTGCATCTTCCTGGAGCCGGTCCCCACACTTCACATACTCACTGGAGAACCTCAATGGCCCCACCAGAAGCCCCTGCGCTGCCCCAGACACCTCTTCCTGGCCACGCCAACTCTCAAAGCCTTGCTCCAGGACTGTAGGTTATTGGAAGCCTCTCGGATGCCCACCCACTCTGCTCTCCCTCTCTGTGGGGCTCGATAAGCTCTGACCTGCTCCCCTGTGCACTTGGGGTGCAGCACGACAGGACTATCACCTCTGCCCTTTCCCAGGGACCATGTCTCTCCCTCAGGTTAGCAGAGAAGCGAGCACATGCTAAGTAATGCCCAACGCTGGCGGGGGCTGGAAACAGGCACATTCGTACATCAGCAGTGGGGTCATAAACTGACGTACCCTTTCTGGAGGGCAATCTGGCCAAATCTATAAAAATGTTAAAGGCACATTCCTTTTGTCTTAGCAGTTCCACTTCTAGGAATTTACCCCCCAGGCATAACTGCAATGGTAGGCTCCCTTTTGAAAAAATAAAAAGGGATATACATGCATTAATGTATGACAAAAGTATCAACTCAGTCATTTCATTTACTCCACAAATATTTACTGAACCCCAACTGTGAATCGGGTACAGCTGTAGAGAGGATACAGCACTGAACAAGATGAGGTTTGTATTCCAGAGTGGGGTGTAAGACAAGGAACAAGTAAATATATGTCACCAGGTATGGTTCGGAAAAGAAATTGCATCTATCCATTGATGGATTGGGACCTTCCTTTTCCTCTTAACATTTTACATCAACACATAAATATCTGAAGCCAGATGGATGGGCTCACATGTGACCAACATCTCAGAAGTTTCCATTTCTGTCCTCTGTGTACCTTCTCAGTCCATCAAATCTACTGTCTGTGATTTGTTTTTAAAAGGTAGGAGGGGTGGTGGAGAAGAAAAGGTCAATCATCAAACACAAACCCCGAGTTAGGACCTCACTGTCCTCCCTACCCCTCTGGGCTTCCATTATGAGCCTTCTACTTCCCAGCGTCAAGCCCAGCCTGCCGAAAGCCGACATTCATTCAACATCCAGCACTGGTGACGGCCTATGACCAAGAGGCACTGCGGATAATGGAGCAGACCAGTGGTTCCTGCCGCCGCAGAGCTTTAATTCCAGAGTGGGGGACAGACACAAGCAGCAACAACTAACATACATGTGACTAGGGCCACGGTGAGGAAGCAAAGGGTGTCCTGGAAGAAGGGACACCAACCCACCTCGGGAGTTAAGAAATGACAGTTCAGCTAAGACCTGAAGGCTGATTAGAAGTTAGCCAGGGGAGTGGAGGGTGCTGCTGGCAGAGGACTGAGACAAGACTTGCGTGGCGAGCTTAAGGAACTCTCACAAGCTAGTGTGGCCATCAGAGGGTGTAAACGGGTTAGTAAGGAAAGGCAGAGAAGCTTGTAGGCCTGACAGTGGACAGCAGACCATGTTGGCAAGTTTGAAATTTATCCTAAGAGCATAGGTGAAGCTACGGAACAGTTTTTTTTACTTTTTATTAAGGTATCATTTATATACACTCTTATGAAGGTTTCACAAGAAAACAATGTGGTTATTGCATTCACCCTTATTATCAAGTGCCGCCCCATACCCCACTGCAGTCACTGTCCAACAGTGTAGTAAGAGGCCACAGAGTCACTACGTGTCTTCTCTGAGCTACACTGTCTGCCCCATGACCCCACACACACCATGCACACCAACTATTACCCCACAATCCCTTTCTCCCTCCCTTCCCACCCACCTTCGCCCACCCCTCTCCTTTGATAACCACTAGTCCCCTCTTGGAGTCTGTGCCACAGAAGGGTTTTTAAGCAAAGGAGGGATATAATCAGATGCGCATGTTACAAAGGTAATTCCAGCTAGAACGTGGAGCACTGAGGGCTGGAGGTGGGTGCAAAGCTAGTCACAGAAGGAAGCAATCCAGAGATCCCACAGAGAAAAACTGCCCCAGAAAGGATGGGGCAGGAAGGGGCTGAGTGGATCTGAGGCAATTAGAAGGTGGGACCCTAACACCTGGTGACCTATCTGTCAGAGAAGAAAGCGGAGTCAAGAACTGCACCAGTCTCGCTCAGACTCCCCTCTTCCATCTCTTTGCCATCGTATGAGGCCTAATCCCCCTTCTAATTATGGTGCAAGGAGCTAGTTGGCCTGTTCTGCTCTGTTGTCCTGGTCCCAGTTCTTCCGGCAGAGGGAGAAAAGAGAACTAGAAATATGTGGTTGAGGTGTCTGAAGTTGGTAGAACTCACTAAAGGGACGTGTTGGTGTCCAGTCTTCCCACTCCACAAACACCAGCGGCCTCTGCTGCCAGACCTGTGATCCCTGGTGGGCTGGCAGCTAAGTCTGGGATCTGACCTTTCTCCACTCACCATATCTACCCACAGCCACTCCCTCACCCAGACTGTTAGAACACACGCCCCGGAACTGCGCTGGGACACATGCCGCCTGTACTCCGGCTGTTTGCTCTTTCCCGCCAGGGGCTTCCTGGGAGCTGACCACTCTGCACCCCGCTGCTGGCCTTTCTGTCTGGGCCCCAGGGAAGGGTCCCTGTTTGGTCCATGTAGCCCTCCCTAATCTGCACTCCTCCATCCCGAGCTCCGGCGGCTCCTGGCAGAGGTCTGTCCCCACTGGGTCCCTCAGAGCCCCCTGTGAGGCTGGAAGCAGGGAGGCGCCGGTTCCACACCTTCCTCGCACTTCTCTTTTCTTCCACCACACCCGCTGCCGCGCCTCTGTCCACTGCTCCTACATGAATGTCCAGTTGGATTCCCCAAGGGGCTCCTCTGTTCCCAAAGAGCTCCCCTTCCCAGAAGTGCCACAGGTCCTGGGCAGAGCCACACAATCAAGGACTCAACTTGTATGTGAACATGTGGAGTTCCTAGTAACCTCCTGTGCAAATTAGCCTCTTCTGCTAGCTGGGAGTTTTGAAGGGCAAAAACCACACACATCACCTACTTCTTGGAAGCTCTCCAGCTGGCCAAGCCCTGCTTACTGCAGGCCGCATCCACACCACCTCCCTGCTGCAATCCTGGGGTGCCTCCTGGCAGGACCTCACAGGGGGCTGCCTTTTCTGCCGCCACACACATTTACTGAGCGCTGACTGCACAGCAGGTCCTGTGTCAGAAGCAGCTCTACTCAACTATTTGGAGAAAAGGTGTTCAGAGCTCACCAGGAAAATCTGACACAGTCTGGGGAGTAAAGGATCTCACAGGAGAAGTCACACCACCACAAGTGATAACGCAATAAGTGCTCGAGCAAAGGTGTGTGCAAAGTGGTGCTGCTGAGTGTCAACACGAGGCACCTTGGCAGAACCCATCCCCGTTTTCTAAACACATCTCTTCTACTATTCCACCCAACCACTCTGCTTTATACTCACTCACACAGGAATATGTTCACTGCAGCTATTTGTGATGGGGAAAAATAACTGAGCTATGGTGCAAACATCCAGAGGAAGATAGTTATCAAAAATAAGGAGCAAGAGCTCCCTGATATGAAAGGAACACCAAGGCACAAGAGTATGTGAAAAAAGTCACAGAATGAAACGTATAGTATGATCTCATTCATATATTACACACACAGAGCTAAACTACTTTTATAGCAGTAACGATTGCGGAGGAGAGCTAAACACAACAGGAAAGGGATGAAAGGGGGGTCATTTCCCTTTTTGCTTATATATGTATATGTACACACACACACTCCCCTCAGATCTTCCCATTTTTACTAATGTAACAGAACAGAACAAAAATCTCCCCCAAGTGCAAAGTAAGGAATGCAGAGCCTAGAAAAAGGACAGCCTAACAGGTGCCCACAAGTTCCTCCTGAACTCCAAGAAGGGCCACTAAGTGAGGGAATAAACACATATCTCTTCCCTTGTTAAGTCTCAAAGATGAAATGTGGTGTGGTGGGCGCTATGGGGTACCATGGCGTGCTGTCCCAGAGACCGAGATTCAGTCCCAGGTGGGCTACGACTGCTTGGATGATCCTGGGGTCCACCGAGCTTCCTTGGAACCGTTTTCTCATCTGAACTCGGTGGCACAGGTATAGAGCACAGGCCTGAAAGCCCACAGACTGGCCCTGCCACCCACAGGCTGTGATCCTAGGTAAATCACTGACCCTCTCAAAGCCTTTTTGTCTCTTATTTTTTTAATAATAAGGGAAATAACATCACTCACCATCCCAGAATGTGGCAAGGATTAAATGCTACTATGTTGTTATCTAGTGCTTAATACAGTGCCTGGCATTTAATATGTGCTCAATAAACCGCAGCTGTCATCACTGTCCCTGAGTGAGGGCAATGACATGGTCCTGCTTACACAGTGGGGTAGTCAAAAGAGATGTATGCTGGGAAGGAGTCCTGGAAGTAGAGAGTGGGGCATAAAAGACAGGGGCACTTACATAAGGATTCCTCTCCCACCTCAACCCAAGCCTCAGCTACTACACAGCTAAGATCCCTAGTGGGGCTGGAGTATTGTGGAATGCCCTATTCACCCTACCGACATTTTAATCAGTTATTTAGGTCTCTGCCACAACTAGGCAGAAAACGGCAAATCAGGAGGGGAAAGATGGGTTGCTAGAAGCAGGTACTGATTCCTGCTAATAATACCCCAGCTCAGGAACCCTCTGACTCCTCCTGGCCTATGCCTGGACCCCTTCAAATCCTTATAATTCTGATGCCCAGGCTACTTGGGACACTCTCTGCAAATGGACCCACACTTCTCAAGGTCACAAAACCCAGCCCAGCTCTTCTGGTTCAAACATCATCCCAGGGCACATCCCTCTCCCCAAATATTCCACAATCCATGGGGTTCTTTCCCAGAAACTTACACAAACACATCTCCCCCCAGTATCCCTCTGAGATTTTTCCTCACACCGCCTTTCCAGCTCTACAAAATGCTCCCCCCTGCCATCCTCCAGGTACGCCCAGATTCCTCCCTGCAGTCCCCATCCTAGGTCCCATCATCTTCACACTGGGCATGCGTGGTCTCCCTTACTCCAGCTCAGGGCTCTCCACAGGACAACCTGCACACACCTCCCGTCTCGAGACCATCCTCCCAGCCCTCCACACCCCAAAACTGGAGTTTGCACTCTCAACCTGTGTGGACAGGCTCCTACGTCAAGTTCTGGCTGGGCCCCTGTTTCCACCCCAGGGACCCTTCTCTGCACTCGGTAGCCACACATGCCAGGGCTCCCCGAAGTTCCCTCCTCAGAGGGAGGGGCACACGTTTCCACCCTGGGACCTCTCCAGGCTCCCCTCTCATCCCGAGTCTCCACACAGCCGTCTTTCAGTTCTCCCCGTGCAGACGCTCCGAAACGCACCCGGTCCCAGGCTCCCCGACTTCCCCCCCGTACTCAGGACGGCCGCCCGGACTGGCTCTTGTCCTCGGCGGGTCCCAGGTGCCCCCAACGCCCCCCCGTCTCCCACCCGGAGCCCATGGGACGCCACCTCCAACCCGCACCTGGCCGGGGACCCGGGTGGGAGCGCTCCAGCACCCTTTGAGCTTGGCTCACTCCCATACCGGACCCTTCCAACTCTGCGGAGCTCTCCCGGGTTCCCCTCCCAGGAGCCCGGCGGCCGGTCCGCTAACTCCCACTCCTCGTCCCAGTCCCGCTCCCAGCCGGCTCGGGACCCCTGCGCCCCTCCTCTCAGACGGCCCCTGCCGGTCCCTCCCGCCCCGGCGCCCCCTCCCACCCAGAGCCACCCGGGCGGCCCAGGACCCCCCTTGGACGGCCCCTCACTCCGTCTCCGGGCCGGTCTGGGGCCCCTTCCGCCCCCCCCCCCGGCCGTCCCGGCGGCCATTGCTCCAAGATGGCGGCGGCGGCGGCGGCGGGTGAGGCCGGGCCGGGCCGGGCGGGGGTCGGGGGTCCCGGGGCGGCGCTCACCTGTAACTCTGCGCGCTCGGCCTCCCAGCGGGCCTTCTCCGCTTCGAAGCGCGCCCACTCGTGCTGGATGAAGTGCAGGATCCCGGGCAGGCTCAGGGGCTCCGGCCCCGCCGTGGGTCCGGGGCTGCCTCCGCCGCTGCCTCCCTTACCAGCCGGGCCGGGCCCGGGGGCAGGGGCAGAGGCCGGGGACGCCCCCGTCGGGCCCGGGCTGGCGCCGGAGCCGAGCGGGCGGCAGGAGGCGGCGGCGGCAGCGACCGCGGCGGCCGCTCGCTCCTCCATCATGGAGGCCCCGGGGCCGGCCCGCGCGCCCGCTCTTCCTCGCGCGCCTGCGCGGCCGCGCCAACCCCAGCGCGCGCTCGACTGGGCCTGAGTGGGGGGGCGGCGGCGGGAGCGAGCCCAGGCGCGCGCCTCGCCCACCCGGGTCGACCCCAAGGCGCGCGCGGGTGGCCGGAAAGGGGCGGGGCGGGAGCGCGGGCGCCGAGGAGGGCAGACGCGACCCCGGGCGCCGGCGAGGGTCGCCCCTGAGAAGGGCGGGTTTGGCGAGGGGCCACTTTCTGTCCCCCTCCCGCTTTGCCCCAAAGAAAGATTCTAACCCTGTATAGACTCAAATACCACTTCGCTCGACAATCGCTATAAGTCTTTGAGAGAAAGGGCGACCCGCACGGGTGGTTTCAGCAGTGGCCCCATGCTCCCTGATTGCTGGCCCAGGTCGGTAGTAATGGTAACCCTTCCCCAGCCACGAACACTCTGGCCTCCCCTCCTTTCCACCTTTGTGGTTATGGAGCCCCAAACCCCTCCTGTCCCTGCACCTGAGGAGGTTGCTAAAGTAACCTAAGTCCTGGATGGTCCCTCAGCCGCTACACTCATTGGTTACTATGGCAACCTCACCGAGCACTCAGGTAGAAAGGGCTCCAGCCCAAGGACACTGATCGCTAAGGGAAACCCGTCTTTCCCAAACCCTCTCCCCTCCCCTAGCATTACCATGGTAACCATCTTCCTCTTTCCTGTCGTAGGAGGTTCATGGACCAAACCAGCCAGGTGTTTTTATTTAGAGGAGGAGATGCCCTGCTGAGAAGTAATTGCTGTGGTTACAGGGCCTGGACCAGAAAGTGTGAAACAGTCAAGGCCAAGTCTTGGTTAACAGGGTAAAGGGAGCGGTCCCCCTTCCAGTGACCCTAGGAACCACGCCCACCAAGGCAGGGGCCATTTGAGGATTGTCTCTGGTTGGAGTGTCTAGGGAAGATGTTGTCATGGTAACAACTTCTGTTACTTCTAGCCCTACCTTTCTGGACACATTTCATAAGAAAGGGATGGTTATATTGCTGTGATAACTGACATCTTTCTCACCCACTCCTGAGACGCTCCAGGTGGTGCCGGAGCTTATAGAACTTTATAAGGGAAATGATTCCCGGACCTTGTTGCCACTTTTGTAAGTGAGATGAAATAGTGCTCTATTATGTGAAATGGGCTGATTTGGGATTTTCTGGTTCTTCCCTCAGCTGGGTGGCTGAGCTGGACTGGAACCACCTCCTCGAAGCTCCCCCAGCCTGCAACCTAGGAGGTAAGAAGTCCCTCAGTGTCACCTGCACTCATGTGAAAACTGCCCTTTCTTTGTCCCCAAAGGTTTTCCCACATACCAGTCATTTTCTCAGCCCATGACATTCCTATTCTACAGATTCAGTAACTGAGGCTCAGGCCAGATCAGAGTTCAGGCCAGGTGAACCCAGGCCTGAAGTGAATCTGAATCCACTAATTTTGTGGGGAATGGAGAGACAAAGTCAAGCTTTAACTGTCCTCTCCTTCCTGGGCCATTTTTGCTCTGTCACACCCCCTGCTGGTGTTTCCTGCCCTATCTGTAAGCTGTTTGTGTAGTTTTTGTCTTCCTGCCTCTGGAGAGCTGGCCCGTGACTGCCTCATTCATCCCTTGTTCCCAGAACACAGAATCTGGCACATAGGGCAACAAACAAATATGTTTGTTGAGTTAATAAGTCAAATGAATTAATTAATGTGCTATATTCAGCTTTGGAAGCACCTGTCAGGTTAGGGCTGGCTCTGACTCATTTAAGATGGACTGAGAGTCCGGCTGAGAGGACCCGAGAGAGACAACAGAGTTTATCTGTTGAAAGCACAACTCTGGAGCCAGCTTCTTGGGTCAGATTCTGGGTCCACCACTTCCCAGCTATGTGACCTTAAACAAGTGACCTCACTTCTCTGTGCCTCAGTTCTCTCAACTTTAGATCTGATCATAATGTGAAGATTAAACAAGTTACTATGTGTAAAGTTTTTAGAACAGGGTCTGGCACATCACAAGCAGCTAGACTTGTTGACATTATTGTCATCCTATGATGATTCAGAAAGACATAGAACATCCAGACCTTCAAAAGCAACCTTTCATCCACTTTCCCCCGGTGAAGGGATTTGGAGCCCTTACAGTTGGGGAAGCCAAGACCCACCTTATCAGGGCGCTAGATGATCCCTTTCTCTTTCTTCTCTGGTCTGTTCACCTCCTCACCTGGCAATCATACCTGCTGTTCTTTGAGGACCCGATTTCATGAGGCCTTATGGGCCACAGTGAAGACTTAGCTTTTCCTCTGAGTGATTTGGGAGCCACAGAAGGGTTTGAGCAGATGCAGCACAGGACCTATTCGAGTTTTAACGGGATCCTTCTGGCACTGTAAGATACAGATTGTAGCAGATGAGGGTAGAACAGAACGATGGTCTCTTTAGAGTCTTCACAAGATTCTAAAACCATCTAAGAGTTTCTTCTATGATTCTGTGTACCTAAACACCATGATTCTAAGATTTTTAAGACTCCGAAGATTCTGTGGTTCCAAAGGTTCCTCCCCAACAATAATGTGACTTGTGTGTGAGGTGAGGCGTTTTCTGTCTCTGTATGTTGCATGTCCACTGCCATGTCCCCAATGCCTACAATAGTGTTTGACATGTTGGAGACTTTCCACAAGCAGATATTGAAGGCCTGAAGGAAGGAGGGATCAATCTAAGGTCCAGAAGGCAACTCCAAGGATCTAAAGATTAAGACGTTAGTCTTAAAGTACAACTCAGATTCTTAAGTGCCAGTCAGCTTGGGTCAGAGAGAAATAAGCAGGACCGGGATAGGTGAAGACGGGTAGGAGGGCCTTCCTGGTAGGAGAGAGACAGAAAGGAGACAGGAAGACCGGGGCAGGGCCCCAGGCACACGGCCATAATGTAGAGTTTGGCTCCAGGGACCTGAATGGATTTTACAGATGCACAGACACCTGACCCTGGCCATCTTTTTTTTTTTTTGTCAAGGGCATTTTCAGCGCCCAGCCATGTGCTAGGAACACAGCAGCAGCTAGAGATAGCCCTGGCTCTACCCTCCCAGGTCTCACAGTCTACTGAAGCAGAGACATCCCCAGACAGTGCCAAACCAGAATGGGCACAGCTGTGATTGGGGGGCCCAAAGGGGACTTTTGGCCCAGACTGGGGTTCAGGGAGGGGTTCCTGGAGGAGGGGTAATTTGAGCTGAGGCCTGAGGCATAAATAGGAGTTCTACTTATGGAAGATTTAAAAGAGAAAAAGTTATACTTATGGAGGAGAAAAAGAGGTATGGGAAGGGTGGGTGTTCAAGAGATTCTTCTAAGTAGAAGGAACAGAATGTGCAAAGGCTTAGAAAGAAGACCTGTTTGAGGAGAAGTCCAAGTGGCTTAAGCATAGAGTTTGAGGACTCACGGCAGATGGAGCTGGACTAGTTGGTGGACAAGGCCTTGTGGAATATTATAAGAAACTTAAGGAAAACAAATCCTACCATTTGCAACAACATGGATGGAGCTAGAGTGTATTATGCTCAGTGAAATAAGGCAGGTGGAGAAAGACAAGTATCAGATGATTTCACTCATCTGTGGAGTATAAGAACAAAGAAAAAACTGAAGGAACAAAACAGCAGCAGACTCACAGAACCCCAGAATGGACCAACAGTTACCAAAGGGAAAGGGACTGAGGAGGATGGGTGGGAAGGGAGGGATAAGGGGGGGGAAAGGGGCATTACAATTAGCACACATAATGTAGCAGGAAGCACGGGGAAGGCAGTATATAGAGAAGACAAGTAGTGATTCTATAGCATCTTACTACACTGATGGACAGTGACTGTAATGGGGCATGTGGTGGGGACTTCATAATGGGCGAAGTATAGTAACCATAATGTTGCTCATGTAATTGTACATTACTGATACCAAAATATAAATAAATCAATAAATAAAACTTAAACTTTCTCCCCAGGGTACTGGGGAGCCATGGCAGGTTCTGAGCAGGGAGGGACAGGTCACATTTGTGAAGACCCCTCTCTGGCTGCCTTTTGATCAGGAGACCAGGGCCAGCTGAGTGGTCATCTGGGCGGACCCAGGTTGAGGCGGGAGCTGCGGGAATGAATGGGGAGGAGGGATCAGAAGTAATTAGAGCTAGGAAAAGAAGCTAAATCTCTGATGTGCTTCTCTCTGGGAAGAGTAGAAACCTGTTTCATGGGGATACTTTTTTGAGTATCTGCTCAGGACCTAGAGAGTTCGTTACACCTCTTGTGCTGGAAACCAGCCAAATATTCAAGTTGTGATGGTGACAAGGGGACAGCGACATCTGGGGGTTGGTGAGGAGTGTGGCCAGTGTAAGGAAGGACTGGGCATCCTATGGCCCACAGCCACTTTTGATGTAGCCCACTCCACTTTAAAAATATTTTTTAATTGTGGTAAAATATACATAACAAAATTTATCATTTTAACAATCTTTAAGTGTATAGTTCAGTAGTGTTAGGAATATTCACATTATTGTGCAAAGACTCTCCATAACTTGTCATAGGAAATTGGAACTCTATACTCATGAAATAAAACTTCCCATTTCCCCCTCCCCACAGCTCCCAGCAACCACCATTTTACTCTCTGTTTCTATGAGTTTGACCCTTTCCACTTTTTAAAAAGATTAATTTGTAGTCCACATTAAAAATTGGGATAATGTTGATTTAAGAAAACATTTCTAGCTTTTCTTGCGAAGTTCTGGCTGACCATCAGGAAACTGATGACCAGATGCCACAGGATTTGAGGAAGTGAGAAGGGGGCAGCAGGGGAGGGGCTCGGTGGCCAGTAACAGAGGCTGTAGCATCTGCCTCACCCTAGAGCTTGGGCCAGGGTGTGAGAGGGAAAGGAGGGAGAGGTCACGGGTGGCTTCCTGGAGGAGGGGATGGTAGAGAAGGTACAAGTGGGGCATTGGGGTGTTCACAACTGCACCCAAACCTGAGTGAGAAATTGACAAAGAATAGAAGGGTGGGATTCAACAAGTAAGAAAGAAAGGTGATTCATTTGATAAAAACTGAGCACCTAATGTGTACTTGCCTCTGTGTGGGATGGCAGTGGGGACCCAGCAGTAACCAAGACAGGCTCAGGGGCCGCCCTCATGGGTCTCACCATCCAGCAGGAGGACAAAAACTGATCCCCACGCAGTAACAGTTTAGAGTGGTGGGCTAGGGTGAGGAAACCTTAGGGGCTAAAGGAGCCCAGAGGGGTTACATGGGAGGTCAAAGAGGGCTTCCTGCAGGCAAGGGAAGTCTAAGCTGAAACCAGATGGACCCAGGGCTGGGAGAAAAGGGCAAGGCCGATGATGGGGTGCTTGTAGGGGGTGGAGGAGGCTTTCTGATAGCCAACTTCAGCCTCCCCTTTCATTCTCCCATCCCCAGGATGACCTGGAGGCCCGGCTAAGGCCTGACTTTGGCCCCATGCGGCTCACCCGCTGCCAGGCTGCCCTGGCAGCCGCCATCACCCTTAACCTCCTGGTCCTCTTCTATGTCTCATGGCTCCAACACCAGCCCAGGAACAACCGGGCCCGGGGCCCCCGCCGTGGATCTGCCGCCGGCCCCCGAATCACCATCTTGGTGCGGGAGTTTGAAGCCTTTGACAACGCCGTGCCAGAGCTGGTGGACTCCTTCCTGCAGCAGGACCCAGCCCAGCCGGTGGTGGTGGCAGCCGACACGCTCCCCTACCCGCCCCTGGCCCTGCCCCACATCCCCAACGTTCGCCTGGCACTGCTCCAGCCGGCCCTGGACCGGTCAGCGGCAGCTTCGCGCCCCGAGACCTACGTGGCCACCGAGTATGTAGCCCTGGTGCCCGACGGCGCGAGGGCCGAAGCACCGGGCCAGCTGGAGCACATGGTGGAGGTGCTCCGGGCTGGAGGCGCACGCCTGGTGGCCGCCCCCATCGCCTCGGCCAACCCTGCCCGGTGCCTCGCCCTGAACGTCAGCCTGCGGGAGTGGACAGCCCGCTACGAACCGTCCGCCTCCACGCTCCGCTGCGACGCCCTGGACGGGGACGCCGTGGTGCTCCTGCGCACCCGCGACCTCTTCAACCTCTCGGCGCCCCTGGCCCGGCCGGTGGGCACCAGCCTCTTCCTGCAGACCGCCCTCCGCGGCTGGGCGGTGCACCTGCTGGACCTGCCCTTTCCTGTGGCGCGCCAGCCCCCCCTGGCCGCGGCCCATGCGCGCTGGAAGGCAGAGCGTGAGGGGCGCGCGCGGCGGGCATCGCTGCTGCGGACGCTGGGCATCCGCCTGGTGAGCTGGGAGGGCACGCGGCTCGAGTGGTTTGGTTGCAGCAAGGAGACCCCGCGCTGCTTCGGGACCGTGGTGGGTGACACGCCGGCCTACCTCTACGAGGAGCGCTGGACGCCTCCGTGCTGCCTGCGCGCCCTGCGCGAGACTGCCCGCTACGTGGTGGGCGTTCTTGAGGCGGCCGGCGTGCGCTACTGGCTGGAGGGCGGCTCGCTGCTGGGCGCGGCCCGCCACGGGGACATCATCCCCTGGGATTACGACGTGGACCTGGGCATCTACCTGGAGGACGTGGGCAACTGCGAGCAGCTGCAGGGCGCCGAGGCGGGCTCGGTGGTGGACGAGCGCGGCTTCGTGTGGGAGAAGGCCGTGGAGGGCGACTTCTTCCGCGTACAGTACAGCGAGAGCAACCACCTGCATGTGGACCTGTGGCCCTTCTACCCACGCAATGGGGTCATGACCAAGGACACGTGGCTGGACCACCGGCAGGATGTCGAGTTTCCTGAACACTTCCTGCAGCCTCTCGTGCCCCTGCCCTTTGCTGGCTTCGTGGCGCAGGCGCCTAACAACTACCGTCGCTTCCTAGAGCTCAAGTTCGGCCCGGGGGTCATCGAGAACCCTGAGTACCCCAATCCCGCACTCCTGAGCTTGGCAGGAAGCGTCTGAAGCTCCAGCGCCCGAAGCTTCAGCGCCTGCTCCTGGGGTTGGGGGGACATTCAGGCACCGGGAGCTGTCCTTTATCTTGGTGCTTCTGGCATTTGGTGGACGGGCCAGATATGTCAAAACGCCCTGTAGGACCCAGCACAGCCCTGCACATCAAAGAAGTGCCCTGTCCAAGATTTCCAAGAACGCAAGAACCCGGGCTCTAGGGCATGGACAATTTTGGAAAGAGAGGAAGAAAGTATGGGTTCTGGGGCCGCACTACAGCAAGTCAAACTCCACCTCTACCACTTACTAGTTTGTTGGCCTTGAGCAAGTGTCCTAGTTTCTCTGTGCCTGTTTCCTCTAGAATTCAACGATTGCTATCAGTGTCCAGCATACGAAGAGCCCTCTGGACACTTGGTCGCTGGGGTTCCTTCCTCCACTAGAGGGCGCCTTTGTCCTACTGTGGGGCCAAGACGACAGTAGCCCCGGGGCCTCTGCTTCACCTCGCATCTCGAGCCTTTCCCCACCGCCTGGCCAGTCGGACAGGATGCCTACTCCTCTCCTTCCAGAACGCGACCTCCCCTGCTGGGAGAGCCCTGTGAGGTGCATGCTGCTTTTAACCCCATCTTGGGGATCAGGAAACAGGTTCAGAGCTCCAAGGTGCAGCTGTGGTTAAGAACCACTCCATATTAACTGGTTCACCTCATTATTTTAGTTCTCTGCAACCCATTAGCTTACTTGCTAGGTGGGTTAAACAGAGCTCCCATTTTCTGAGCACTTACTGTATGTATATCATCGTTCTCAGTGTTTCACACAGATGAACTGATCTGTCCTTCTCCTCAGTCCTCTGAGGTGAGAGCTGCTATTACTCCTTCCAGATGAGGAGCCTGTGGCCAGAATGGTAATGTCACTTGCCCAAGATCAGACAGCTGAAGAAGTGGCAGAGCGGGGACTTGAGCCCAGCCTGTCAGCTAGGAGCCCACACGGAAGCCGCCCTCTGTGCCCCTCTCTCACAGTGGTTTGGAGAGGGACTTCTGGGAGGCCACACCACTCAGCGGGGAAAGCGATGGCTGCCTTCCTCTAGGGATCATGCACCTAAGAGTAAAAACTGTTGGGCCATATGCCCCCAACGTGTGTATTTATTTATAAATTATATACAGACACTACTATCATTCTGTATGTTAGTAATAAGGCTTAAATTATTCCATTCTAAAACTAAAAATAAATAGGTTTTGTTTACTTTTCCTCTTTCCCATGACTTGTCCCACACACGTGTGTGTACCTGGCTTTTGAGACCACAGGTTCTGAAGTGGGGGAGACCTGGGTTCCAACCCAGTGCTGCTGCTTCCTGCCACTGTGAACCTGGGCTGCCCTGGCTGCCTCTCTGCATCTCTGTGCTGCACCCGGAAATGAGTGCTTACCCCACGGGGGTGCTGTGAGGCACTGGAGTGGAGTCAGGGCTGGGTTTGGTTCCTTTCTTGGCTACTTAATCTTCTTTGTGATCTTAGGCAAGTCACTGCCTCTTTCGACCTATTTGGGCAGAGAGACTGGTGATATATTGCAGAAGTGTGAAGCCCTTGGAGGAGGAGACAAGAGAAGAGAAGGTGCAAATTTGGCCCAGTCTCCAGAGGCTCAGACTTCCAAAGCCTGACTTCTTATAACTCAGCCTCTGTTTTTAGCCACTAAACCTGCAAATGGCTAGCAGAGAGGCTGTTGGGTTCCTATGGAGCCTTCTAGACACATGATGGGGATGATTTGGGTTATCCCTGTGATCAGGTGGGGCTTTTGGCTCTTGGAAGGCTTGGCCTAGAGATGGAGATGTCTTACGATATGCAGGGTGTCTCCACACAATGAAGTATTGTTCCTTGTCACATACAGTTTTAAAATGTGCCATTGGACATTTATGATGCATGGGTGATATTCAAAATACTTGGCAACTGGCACAGTAATATAAATTAATATATGAATTAAAATTTAAAACATTTTTCTCTAAATAATCAAAACCATCTACCTATGTATATGTATTTCTTTAAATTGTTTGCCAAGAACATAAGTTGAAGCATGAATCATTCAGAACTTACTGTAATGATTTTGTTCTAAGAAATTGTTGGTGTGATTTTTTGGTTCACATAGCTGCGTATTTCCTATAAACATATACATATGTTTATAAAATAATCATGCCTTAGCTGTGATTTGATAAGAGAACCACATCAAATGCTTCTGGCAATTTCCCATTAGATTGAGAACCATTAGGTGACTTGAGTTATCAGTGGATAAAGAATTCTCTTAACAGTGTTTTGATGTTTTCTCCTCTTTGCTGTCCCTCAGCTAACAGCAGTTACATTAAAAACTTTCCTAGCCCTTACAGTACTGTCTGAGTTTTGTATATTCAATATCTTTATTGAATTTAGAAGTAATGAGATGACAGAAAACCCACTGCACCAATTAACTTGAATAATGAGTTTATATCAGAATGTTATTGAATTTTAGTGTTTGCTCAATTACTTTTGTACTATTAACCAGCCAGAACTGAAGTACTTCAGTATTTGAACCAGCACATCCCTACTAGTGCATACTGATTTAAATTTTAATGTTGTTTGGAAAAATCAGGTTAAGAATTCTCTGACCCCAGAAACTAATTTCTCCTCATGCAACATCCTCTTTGTAAGGTTTTAATAGGTTCTGAATGTTCCAATAAGTGCAACTACCATGTTAAATGAGGGTAGCTTATATTGTGTTTTGTTCAAAACTTGGCCAAAGATTGTCAACAATCTTGGAAAAGCACATTTCACATGGCTTGTGGTAATTAGACACTGATACCCCATGTTTCCAGCCATTATGAGAACTGCATGCATTACAGGTGTAAACATCTGGCTACCTCCTTGGGTCCTGGGAGGTGGCCCCACACATTCATATATTGAAATGCATATTATAAATGACTATCCTGTTATTTCTCCTTTTTATTACAGTTAGAGCAATGTAGAGATTGTTTTTAATATCATGTGCAGGTTATATTATCTGTGTAGTTCATTTCAGGAGAGCCAAGAGGACTTTCCCAGAGCCAGCATTCAAGCCAGCCCAGGCACTGGTATGGCCATGCCGCTGGGTAAAACATGGAAATATTATTGATGACTGTTCTGTTGGTAAATGTCACTGCCATGAGTCCCCTATTAGTACCCTCCTGGCTCTTCCTGGGAACACACTGGACTTCCTGGCACCCAGAGACAAAGGTGTTCACAATGGGCACAGTGGGAGGGAAGGGGAACCGTGTCCCAGATGCTGCTGGGGGAACTGATAGCCTGACTACGTAGTAAATACTCTGTGTGTCTCCTCTGCCTGGGCATCACACAACGTTTGCTATGAAAAGTAAATGCCACTCAAAGGTCTACGTACAACACACGTTATACACAATGGCCCCAAACCGGAACCCACCCATGTCCATTAACAAGTGAGTGGGTAAACGAATGGTGCATCCAGACAATGGAATACTCTGGTAATTAAAAAAAAAAAAGGAATGAACATGACTAGATCTCAAAAGCATCCTGCAAAGTACAAGAAACAGGATGTAAAAAGCTACATACTCTATGATTCCACTAATGTGAAATTCTAGAAGAGATCAAACTGATCCTTAGTGACCAAAAGCAGCTCAGTGGTTGTCTGGGCCGGGGGTGGAGGGTGGGACAGACTGCAAAGGAGCGGGAAGAAATTTGGTGGTGGTGGTGGGAATATTGTGTTTTTAAGTTGTGGTGGTGGTTTTTCATGAGCTTATGCATCTGTCAAAACTCACCCATTGTTGATGTTCATGGATGCAGTTTATTGTATCAAATTATACCTCAATAAGGTTGATCACCCCCACCCCCTTGCCAAAGAAAGTAGACTGGGAGGGCAGTTCAACAGGCCTAGATATATTGATCTTCCTCTATGAGAGAGGAAGCTCAGTCATTAGTCTCTGCTTGCCTGCCCCCCATACTGTTGAGTCCAGAACTCAGGCCCAAGCCCAACCCAAGACCAGCCGGAGCCGCCCTCCCTCCCAAGTCAGGTTCCTTCAAAAGGGCAAGAAAAGTGTTGCAATAATAGGAGTGGGTGGAGCAATGGAAGGGAGGGAGAGGTGAGAGCCCCGCCCAGAGTGGCCATCCAGGTGTTTTCCTTGTTAGGTAACCTCCACCAGTGGCCTTTGGGTAACACATAGGCATTGTCACCAGAGGGTGAGACTCAGCGGTGCATGCTCAGGGTCACAGAGCTGGCAGGTAGAAGCGGAATCTGAACTAGGGGGACAGTGACAGCCTCTTAAAGCCAGGCAGCTCTGTAGGTGGAGTCCAGTTCATTCATTCTGCAAATATTGAGTACCTACTATGTGTGGGGCCCCATGCTCTGCTGGGCGGATGGTAGTGAACAGGACAAAGGTGGCTCCCTCACGGAGTGATCACATCTGAGTGGAGGCCAGGTCTGGGAGCCACTGAAGCCCTGGTCCACCCTGGGAAGGTTGGGATGGTTCCAATCTTTCTGTATAACCTAGATCAGTGTTTTAGGCAAATTAGCGGCATGTGCCCAGCAAATTTTTTAAATGGCATAGAAAAAAGTGGGTAGGTACTGTTTGGTGGAACTTAACCCAGTTACAGAATCTTCGTATGGACAGATATTATGTATACAGATTTATGCAATATATTACATCTGCAGGTATGCACCTTTTTAAACAGGCATCCCTCATAATCTAAATCTAATGCACTTCCAAGAAAGCATTAAATAGAAAGTATCTTACACAGGGAAAACGATGCCCTCGCAGCTCCACCCAAAACCCCAACTGATTTCTCCATGCATCATTAAAACAATCTTATAGACCTTATATAACAAAGGACTTTGCAAAACTAGAAAGCATTGGAAATCTCAATGACTAAGTCATTCAACACTTAACAAACTCATTAGTGGCTGTTTGTGTGCAATACACGATTCTGCCCAGAACCAGATATGAATTAATTTTCCTTCCACACTGCAGCGATCATGAGAGGTAACTAAATGAACTGAAAAAAGATGCTAAAGATACCCAAGATACCATCTATAATTGGACCCAAATTGGTGGTGCCTCCAGGCACCTGGCAGAAGTCTACTTAGGGACCGAGGATGGGGGCGACAGTATCAGTAGTGTGTGATATGCTGCAGCAGTGCACAAGGCAGGACCTTGCTTGGATGGGTGAGCCGCAACTGGTATCACCCATATCCTGGATATCTATAGGATTACAGCAGTTGCAGAGCAGTTTTTTAATTCAAATAGCAAATTCTGGATTTAAAAAAAGAGCACATCATTATTGGGGATGATATGGGAGTCAGAGTTCAGCTACCAAGGGATTCTTGCATTTCCACATAGGTGATTATGGTGGATATTGAACATTTGCTTTATCATTGATGGCTCCATTGTGCCCTCTCCAAGTCAGTAAGTTGCCCTCCTAGGTCACCACTGTTGCAATTGCTCTCCCCATAGACAGTTTAATCGGTAAGATTTTCATATAAATGGAAATGTACAGTATGTACTATTTCTAGCTTCTTTCACTCAAAGTATTATCTGAGAGATACATCTAAGCTGTACATCAATACTCTATTTTTTTGCTGAGCAGTTTCCAACATACGTATGACTGTACCAGTTTATGCAATTGACTCATTTCCAAATGTTGGCAATTATGGAGAGAGCAGCTATACATAGTAGTATATCAGTATTTTTACGAGCAGGTTTTCATTTCTCTTGGGCAAATACCCAACAGTGGAACTCCTGAGCTGTAGGGCACATGTATATTTTAACTTGATAAGCAACTGCCTGGTGATTTTTCAAAGTGACCAGACCACTTTGCGTTCCTCCCAGCCACGTGAGGGCTGTCCGTTTGCTCCACATCCTCAGCAGCATTTGGTATTGGGTTTTTTTCTGCCATTTCGATAGGTGTGCATAGTAGTGGTATCTCACTGTGGTTTCCAATGGTGTTTTTTGATAAACAGTTTATTTCAATGAAGTCCAACTTACCATGTTTGGGTTTTGTTTTTTCTGTGCGGCAGGTGCTTTTAGTCAAGTTCTTAAAAACATCTGATGAGATATGCTTGACAATTTTATTACTCAAAATGTCCTCTGGAGTTACAGTAGTACTTGTCCTGCTCCCCCAGGCCCCCCAGAGTTCCAGGGAGTGTTTCTGTTAAAAACAGTGGAGGAAACAGAAGGCCTGGGGACAGAGCGGGGGGAAGTATCGTGGAGAGAGACACAGAATACACACACACACACACACCCCAGCTACAGTCACCAAAAGAACCAGAAAAGGAGCCAGCAACCAGTTTGAACATCCTTCAAATCCATACGGTGCCCTGCGCCCTGAGAAAGGAGGCCGGGCAGGCTCCCAGGATGGGGTGTAGAGGGCACTTCTCCATCTTGCTGCTTCCACCCTTGGGTGGAGACAGGAGCTGAGGACTGGGGAGACTGGGGAGACACACACACACACATTCATCCCAGCAATGAGACCTCTCTGATCTGATGTCAGGGAGCAGGCTGGAGTCTCCAGCTCCCTGGAGTGTATGGGGAGGGCCCCCAGAGCCTAGTTTGTCCGTTTATTCACCCCTCCTCATGAGCCCAATGTTCAAAGTGCCCCTGGTTAGCGTAGGGAAGGCTCCTCACAGTTTACATGACAGATTCCTTCTCGTAAGTGTCAGCATTGCCCCCAGGTCCTGCACCACAGGGTCTGAGGAGGGGGCTCCCCTCCTCGGTGGAGACTGGCAGCAGAGCCAGGGGCCCCTCACTCTTCGCTTGGCTCAGCTCGGGCACCGGGCTCCAGGACTCCGTGCGATCCACATAACTCTGGAGGAGTCCTGCCCCAAAGGCGTCCCCTTCCACATTGAGGATGGTACAAGACCGGTCTCTGAGGGGGTAGGAGTGATGGAGAATTGAGTGGGAGGGGACAGGCCAAGGCCCAACACCCGCCCCTGCTCCCTGGAATCTTGAATTCCCCAGCACACCCTCCTTCACGAAGCCTGTTCTGCTCCTGGATCCAGAAGCTCATCCCCCCACCCTCCCTGGACCCCAAACGATCCTTGTCCCAACAAAGCACAAGATTTGTTCCTTCTGGAACCTAAGTCATCCCTCTCTTTTGCTGAGGCTCCAGGAGACCCATCTACCTCTCCTCATCCCCCTGAAACATTAAGGTGTTCCTCAGGCCCTTCTCCCCACTGGAATCCTAAGGATCTTTCCTTTGCTTTCTCTTTTACACTATGTGTGTGCGTGTTTGTGTGCCATTTTAGAAAATGGAGCTATAATTCACATACCATAAAATTTACCCTTAAAAGTGTACAATCTAGTGCTTCTTAATATATTCAGAGTTGCACAACCATCAACACTATTT